TAATTCTGTAGTCAAAATCCCTTTGTCGGTCATTTTCATGCTGATGTTACGTCACCTTAGGCCGATCTTTTCTTGGAAGCTGATGATACCCTGACCGGGTGTCTGCTTTATGATCTTATTGGTGCTTTAAGTTGTCATTGAGGTAGTGTCTAGGTTTCAAAATTGTCCAATTTACAAGCTCTAAAATAGCGTTGGATTTTTCGTAAGTTGGTACAACTGTTATCTTCCTACCTTTTCTTTAGGCGTCCATTAGGCCTATCTCTTATAAGTAGTTTATGAATTCTTATACCTTCTGCCCTCCCTGCTTCTTTATATTGTCCGCCTTCTCATTAAATTAAGAACACGTAATTCTTATCTTACGACTTCATTTGTTATCTGCTCTCATATATCGTGCAACATGTTTTTAAGAAATCTTACCTGTAATTTGTGAGTCATTTAGTTTCTATGAGGGGATGACGTGACCGCTGTGTCACAGCTTCCGGTCTTGCCCCACCCCCATTTTAAAAACCGTCATGATACCAGGTCTTTGGGCTGATATTTGAATCCGGGACGTCCCAATGCATTGTGCTTAGTGGTAAGCTGTCTCAGACTGAAAAATATTCAGTTGACTTGGGATTCCGTTGTAAGCAGGTTTTAGGGGAGTGACGTTGAAATGTGTAATGGAGTACATAAGTATGTGGTGGTGTCTGCAGTGGTTTGTTTACTTGGTTGCGTTTTCCACTCCGATCGGAAGTATGTGGTTAAAGTTGACTGCGATAATAATTAGTGACGGGATATCGTAATCAAGTGTAAACAGTGTAATTAGTGGTAGTTGACAATAATTGTTTGATATATTGGTAAGTTGCTGAGCAACAGACAACCAATAATTTTAGTGACTTGTTTTAAATCTCTGAACGTTTCGACACATCTGACTATTATCATTTTTGTCAGGATAAATCTTAATAAGATACGTTTAATTTTATGGTCGTTTTGGTTGAAAAATAACATGAAAATAAAATTGCGTCTGAACAGTATAAGTTATACAAGAATGTTTTCTCGTCAGAAACAGAATTAATCAAAATGGCCTTTATTTATTTGAGGTAGGGATTGAAATATTAAATATTATTTATTCGAGCTTCGGCTTCAAAGTGTTAACAGCATAGCTGTAAATCTGTTGCCACAAACTGCAACATTTGCGTCACTAGTCATGTGATAGACTGTCAGTCGTTTTATGCCTCTAATTTCCTTGCTGATAGTTATTATAGCATACACGTCAGATAACAGTCGCCACATTAGAAGTCTCTTCAACACGTCATATAACAGTCGCCACATTAGAAGTCGCTTGAACGTAGCAGTCAGCAGTCTGACTCACACTCATGAGACATAACCAAAGTTTTCAGCGCAGACAAAACATGGGAGACAGCCGTGTGGAACAGTGGGTAGGCACCGAATCGGACGAGGTACAAGCCTTGAACCGACAGCGCGGCGTAATAATTAGTGTCACGCTAATCAACAAGTCAAAATGGCGTGCAAATCGACGTGAAAAACAAATCGGCCGGAAATAAAAACAAGTGAAGCAGCTTTCAATTGCCCTGTCATAATACACCCCGTGCGCAGAACAGGCTTTTAGGATGCATTTCGTTCAAGTTGAGATGAACGATATATTTAAAAACATGGAAAACTCATACAACATACTCGTCTGTAAACCAGACTGGAATTTGTCCTCTGGTTCAATTGCAAAACTTATTTTATTTATTCCATATATATCAATAAAAACAACTTACTGAAACCACGAACCCTGGAACAGATATTTTACGATATTAAAGAAGATAAAATCAAAAAAATGAACCCCAAAGTGGTGTTAATGTCGAACATATGGGCACATTTATTTCCAGTTTCTTAGTTTCATGACTAAATAATTTTAAAAGGTGTAATTTTAGTGTTCACACCTGGGATTTCAAGTGCGAAGGAATCCAGCGGGCAATATCTGCAGAAGACTCCGATTGATCAGTGAGCTGCAGGAAAAGTATCGTTTTAAAGCAACTGGAAGTGTATTTTCCTTTAGCTGTAGGCAGAAAAGTGTAACAGCTAAAGATATATTGGTACCAGCTTTGGATCGGCCTAAACATCAACACCTTTATCGATGTGCTTGGGTGTTTATATTGGAGTGCTCAAGATGTGTTATATTAGTCACGTGTCATATGAAAAAATATGCTCGTTGCATTAACTGTTTAACTGCTAATGGTATATACCTGTAATACTTATATGAACTAAAAGGCGTCGATAAGAAATTTATATGAACTAGGGTCCGAAAATACATTCATTCCGAATTACAGCTCCCCTTTCCTTTTCGACGGCGCGTATATAATTTTTTTCATTGCTTTCCCTCGGCGCTCAGGGTGACGCCGGACGCCAGACAAGAGATGAAGCAGGGTCGTAGTTCTAAGGCCACACGCCACAGTTGGATAACCATTCGGCATTCTCGAATGACCAAGTAATTTTCTTCTAGTAATAAATGAGATACAGTGTCAGGTTCTCATGAAATTGTAATGTTTAGATTTCAATAATTAACTTTTTCAATTATGTAATAAATACTTTTTGGACTTTGTTTCCAACGTCTGGAGCCTTTAAACCTCGTCGTTCCGGAATTTCTTTCTACTTCCGTCTTCCGGTGAAAAGATGACAAAAGCTCAGTGTGTTGGGCCCTCTGACCGAGCTAGTCTCTAACCTGGGCTGTGGATAAGCGCCCCCCCCCCTACCAAGACACTATTTCGCACCATTGTCAGAAAAGGGGATAAAACATAAAAGTTGTTTTAATTTAAAAAGTTGACTAATATTAGTAAGTAAAATACAATCTTTTGTAAATATGTCGATGTTCCTACAGACTGCATTGGCAGCAAAACACATCTGGCTGAGGGTCTGACCTTGAAATTGCGTAGTACAGTGAAAATTGGTGTAGTCTGTTGCAGACCTAGTGGGTATGCGCGGACTACTAATGTCCGAAACAGATGGACAGGCTTCAAGATGCCTCCCCCCTTAAATGGAGCTTTAAAAAGTTCATCTACATAATATTAATAATATATTTATGTTTCTTTCTTACCATTGCCGTAACTGATTTTTAGCTTTCATGGTGATTAATCGATTCATTATGTTGCCTTGTTCGTCTTTAAGCCTTTTTTTTGTTGCATTATTTTCTCACACAACCGGTACGAAATCTTTATTAGCACTGATTCATATTCACTAAACTTCCATATG